AAGTGCAAGTGCTTTCCATCACTGTCCTGCAGTGCTTGCTGTGTCATGAATGAGCATTCCACAGAGATTGATGGGCCTTTTCTAGGGCTGTTTATGCTTTTCTGTTGGTCTATTATGTATTCATGAGGATGGTGCAGGACTGGGCAGTGTTTTGTTCTGTTGTACATAGAGTGGCTATGAGTCAGAACCGACTCAATGGCACTCAACAACAACAACATTAAGTATTCCTATAATGATACTGTGCCATCTAATATATTACAGCTCCATCTATACATTAAATGTATACGAATGCAATTATGTATATGATATGTGTGGACAAGCTCATGCCTTATTCCTTAGAATATCTTGGCTATTGGTGGACATTTGCAGTTAACATACACATTTTGGAAGAATTTTTTGTGATGTTCAGAAAAATAATATTGGCTGGAATTTTATGGAAGTGTATGGGAAATGGTCTGTTTGTGGAAAACAGTTGTCTAAGAGCACATACTATCTTTTCATTTATTTCAGTCTGTTTGGATGTCATTGAGTAATGTTTTATAATTTCCTCAATAGGATCTCATATTAATTACACTCCTTTTTGATACATTTTATTCTTACTAAAAATGTGTTTTGTTTTTAAAATAAATTTCTCAACTGCTTGGTGCTAGTGGTTATAAATGAAATATTTAAAATAAACCTTACCTTGATATTTATTTTGTAATCTGAATACTCTCAGTCCTAAAATCATCTGTGCTGTCTTTGGGGTTTCTACATATAGAATTACGTAACCAAAAATATAGATTGGCGTGTGTTTATCTTTAACATTTTTCTTTACTTTTTTCCTCTCCTTTCCTTTTTTGGTATGTATTGGCTACCACCTCTAGCATAACGTTGAATAGGAATGGAATAAGGGGTATCCTTGCTTTTTACCTGCTTTTACTGGAAAAGTGTTGATGTTTTCAGTATGTATGTTATTAAATATACATTATTTGTATATGCCCATTTTCATCATTTCTTGTCTGATTATGGCCATAACTTTCTAACTTATCTCCCAGCTTTTACATTTGCCCCCACACATGGGTTCTTTAAATACTTTAAGAACTGTCGTCTCTGATCAAAGGCATAAAATTGCTCTGCGTTTCACTCAGATGAGAAGCCTGAGTCTTTTTAAAAGCCATCACGTTCCCCAGCACATGCCATGCCCACTGGCTCCAATCCCCTTTCCAAATTCCTCTGTTGTTATTCTCCAGCATCTCACTCTGCTCTGGTCATGCTGGCGTTTGGGCCTCCCTAAAACATACCAGGCACACTCCCACCTGTTGGCCTGTGCTCTGGTGTTACCTCCTCCTGGAACGGTTTCTTCTCAGCTATTCCTTGGGTGATTCCTTCACATGTTTCAAGTCTTAGATCATTCTTAATGAATTCAGTTAATTAGGGTATTGAGGTCACAGGGCAAACAACTGCCCCCAAACTGGAGGGAGACATAGGCACTCTGCTCCTGAGCTTCTGCTCTGGAGTGATGATTCTCTGTATCTGCCTGTGGTCCCTCCAGTTTAGGGGACAGTTGTTTGCCCTGTGACCTCAGTAGCCTAATTAATTGAATTCATTGAAAAGAATGCTCTGTGACCTCTGAATAGCCTAATTAATACTGCTACTTGCATTGTCAGCGCTGTCAGTACTCTGCATTGCAATAATTAAGTCTCAGTCTTTTAGTGAACCTGTTCCCCTGGGCGGTGACTTTACAGGGCTTCTCTGCTTCTCCCCTCCCCACTGTGGTGAGACAAGGCGCCTGGATGGGGCCGAGGTTGGATATTTCACTGCTCCAGCTCTGTTAGATTGGGGTAAAATAGTTTCCGTTGACAGCAGGCCTTGTGAAGCAGAACAGGATGCTCTGGGAGAGTTTCACAATGGCTGCTTTTCCTCCAGGTCCTCCTGGCAGCACAAGGGAATTTTTCTCTGATCTTCACACCAAGGACCTGGTAGGGTTTATGGAAATAAAACTCACAAAACTGTATGGGTCCCCCTAAAATGGCCCCCTGGAATATTTAACCCTGAAGCTTGTCCACACCAAGCTTCCAGCAATTCCTCAGTTACACTTTATGTCTTCCTTCTCTGGTCCTGATTCTAGTGGTGGTTTTTGCTCCGGGGCTCCTGCTCTGGAACGATTCTCTGTATCTGCCTATGTGTCCTTCCAGTTTTGGGGGCAGCCTTTTGCCCTATGATCTCAATACTCTGAGCCCAGTATGTTCAGCTTTTTTCTTGAGGATGGTAATGATGACTTCCAAGCTGTTTACATATCGGACCCAAACCTGAAAGTCTTCATTTGTGTTTTGTATCATTAATATTGTCTATTTTCTTTTACATTCTTGATAGTGTTTATTCATGCTGCTTTTATTTTTCCAGGGCCGCAATTTTCATGCTTACCCTCTGCTAATGACCTTTTCATTTTGTGAATAACCAGTGTATCTTCCCTTTCCCAGCGATGAAGGTCAGTGGCGCTCTTTGATTCCTGTGCGTCTACACTGGGAGTTGTTGAAGTCAATGAGTATCTGAAGTTTATAGGAGTGCTTGCAAAATTATCACAGAGTTCTTCCAAGTTTTTAGAATTGAAAGTGCGATTTTTTTCCTTACCGTCCAGGTTTTACTAGCTAGTGTTTCGTAAAATGATTGTTTTCTTTTCCCTACACTAACTCCCTGAAGGTAAATATGCTTCTGTTACTGCTTATCCCCTGACGGTGCTGTATTTTCATAGAACTTACCACTACGTGCCATTATATTGTTGTTAGTTGCTATGGAGTCAATTCCAACGTGTAACAACCCCATGTGTGCAGAGTAGGGTTTTCAAGGCTGTGATCTCTCAGAGCAGATTGCCTGGCCTGTCCTCCAGGAAACCTCTGGGTGGCTTTGTGCCACCAGCCTTTCGGCTAGCTGTCAAATGCTTAACTATTTGTGCCACCCAGGGGACTTGACAGTTCATTTATTTACTGCCCACACCCAATGAAGTTATGATTCGTGTGCATCCAGATATTTCTGTTTAGTGCTGTATCTGCTTTGCCCATGTGAAGTAGGCTCTGTGTCAGTAGTACCCAAATCAATTTTAATAAATGAAACAGCTAGATGTAAGGGCCTGAAAGGAGGCAGTCTTGCCTGAGACGTGGCTTTGCCAAGAGAAGGAGATCCAGGTTGTCTGAATTGAATAGGATATTTCCTTTGTCTCCTGTCCCTACTACCCAGCAGGGCTCAGATCATCCATATAATTGAGGATTAACAGCCAGAATAACAAGAAAACTGAACATACATGAACAAAAATGTAGTTGTCAGGAATTTAGTCTTACGTGCATTGATCTGCATTCAGACCCTCGCTGGGCAGCATACCATTTGGGCAGTATTGAGCATGTGATTGATTGTAGCGTTCCTTGGCTATATAACCTGTTTGAAGTGATACCTGCTTAGGAGAGGCATGAGAAATAAATGAGCTAGTGTGCCAAAAGCTGTTTGTAATCCTTTCAGATACCGTAGTTGGTCAATAAATGCAACAAACATTTTTATCATTAATATATTGTAGGAATGAAAGTTCGGGTTTTTGATGGCTTTAAAATATGTAACCTGGCCCGCTGCAGTGGTGGAGACTTTTGAAAGTGGCACTGGATCAAAGTTTGCTGCGACACTATCATACCAGGATTTATTAGAGATGACCTTAACAGCTCCCTTCACCCCGTAGCCTATCTGTTCTACAGCTGCTGGGCTGTTCAGTAAAATGTTAGCACCGGAAGTGCAGCATAGCAGCCTTTTGTCTCCTCACTACATGTGGGAGCCAAAGGGTTGATGCTGTTTCACAGAGGCCAGTCTTGTAGCCCAGAGGATGCCAGTGGTCAGGGTTCAGGTAGTCATGCTTGTGTGCCTTCCAAGGTTTGCATATGTGAGAAAATTTTGAAGTGGAGCATCTAGAGGATTGGCATGTAAGGCTCTGTTTCCTAGGATGCACAGTTTAACGATAAATTCCCTGCACTTCAGTGAACTTACTGAAAAATGAGAATCTTAACCTCTTGTTCACGGTCAACAAACACAAGGGCATGCTGTTCTGGTCTTCAGAGATTGGGCTCTTTGTCATAACATTAGCGTGTGTTCATGTGGGTGCCTGGGTGTCTGTCTGTTGAGGGGAGCAGTCACTAATAATTGCTGTATAGTAGCTTTGGGTCTCAGATTTTGAAAATTGTGATGATATCTGGATTCTCTTGTTTCCCGTCTCTCACCTGAGCTCTGTTTACCTTTTCAATACCCTTGCTTGTCTCCATGAAGGGACAGAGTGCATGACAGCACAACTGTAGAGTTGCTGAAAAGTGGGTGACAGACGTAAAAATTCATAATTCCCCAAAATAATGTTATCTTTTCAGCAGGTTGTCCTGTCAGCTCTTGATCACCTGGAGTTCTTTAAGAAGAGCTCAGGGCCTTGGGTTGCCAGTTTGTGCAGGCCACTGGGCCTCCCATGGCTGGTGAGGGGCCAGAGAAAAAACTGCCAGTCCTGCAGTGTTTCCCAGTTGTTAATATCTCATCCTGCTTTCACCTGGTGCTTCATGTTTTGTTGAATATTCTGGTGGGTCCTTTGCAAGGAGGCGAAATTTTTTTTTCTTCTTCACAAAAAAGAGACGAGCTGAATGTAGAAATAAGGCTTCGCTGTAAAGAATTTCTCTAATTTATGCTATGTGTTCTGACCTAGACCATAAAGATAGAGAGGAATGAGACTGGAATTGGTTACAGGCAAACTGGAGAGATAAGTTCATTGTGTTGGAAGTATTGTTAAGTTTTTGAGACAGGATGCAACTCGTGAGTAAGTGAATGTAGACAGTGAAGGGATGAGGCTGATGGCGAAACCCTAGAGTAGACCTTAGTAGGACGCAGAACCCAGTGTCAAATCCCCATGAAATCTCAGTTCCCCAGGACTGTCAGCCTCACCCTTCCTTTCACACACATTGAAGTACGTGGTACCTTGCTGAACCAGAATATGTGGGATGTTTTAGGACTCAGTGGCTATTGAGGATGTGGCTGTGGACTTTACCCAGGAAGAATGGGCATTGCTGGATCTTTCTCAGAGGAAACTCTACAGAGATGTGATGATGGAAACCTTCAGAAACCTGGCCTCAGTTGGTATGGATGGCTTCCTTTTTTTTTTTTTTTAATTTATTCTTTAGTGACCAAATATGTCGTTCTCATCGATGTTTCTCCAGTATATGTGCCAAGGAAAGGAATGCATTGTTAAATAAGACGCATGGTCATTTGCTCTCTGGAGCATGCATATCCTGAAATCCTCATGAATACAAAGCTCTGTGTATTAAACTAACTTCTCATTTCAATTTTGGTTAAAAGCTTTAAGGGCTTTTAAATGTTGTAAGTGTGAGTGTTGACTTCGGGGGTTTCTTTGGTGCACAGAAGAGAATATTTGTGGCCTGGAACCTTGTAAAGAGTCTTACTGTGTTTATTACAAGTTTGACATGATTATTTTGCTACAAATAAATTCATACCCACTCATCTCCAGAGACCCTGAAGACCAAAGTATTGGCTCAGTGTCAGGGAAGTGTTCATTGCTGTTCCCTGTCTTCCCTCATGATATGCCTTTCTCCATGAGCACCATGTCAGCTGCACCCATTTGTTCTCACAGAGTAGCAAGAGGAAGACCTGAGGAGAGTGCAGATGGCACTCATCGAGGACCACTGTGTCTGGGGGCACCAGGAGGCAAGAATCCTTTGAAGGATCAGGCCTGTGTGGAGGGAATGAGATTTGAATAAAGCAGGAAAAGTCTCTTTTGGGTTGAGGAGTATGTAGTTCACAGATACCTGAGCTTGCTTTTCTGACTTTCACCAATCCTAACACACCTGTCTTCATGGAGAAAGACTGTCCTCTTTTCCTCTTTTAATATTACATGTGCGTTGTGTCCAATACCTTTCTCCTTTGCTTGTCTAATTACACGGTGTTTATGTCACCATCACTCTCCATCTTCATGGAAGTATTTCCTAGTAAATTGCTTTGGGACCATTGCCAAAGTACTGAAACAGCGAAGTGTGTCAAAGTCCGTCTTTTCTCACAGCTACCTTTTCCCTCTGAGTAATTCCATTCCTTTTTGTTTCATATTGTGAACTTCAACTTAAATCATTGGGTCAGTTTCTCGAAACAATGATGGAGGAAAGCTATCCACTGAAAATACGATAGTAGGATTCATGAAGAATGACACCTGTTTCTCCATGGTAGGAGACATCTGCAAATCGCATGGCGTTGAAGATAAAGATAACAACCAGAAAACACATGTAAGGTGAGTGTCATTCACTCGAGAGACAGCAGTGCTTCAGGAGAGAGTCTTAAGACATCATGGCATTAAAATATTTATATATATAAGTAGCCCAGGTGGCACAAATGATTAAGCACTTGACTGCCGAGCAAAAGATTGCCAATTTGAACCTATCCAGTGGCTCCGCGGGAGAAATAACTGCAGTCTGCTTCTGTAATAATTACAGCAAAGAAAACCCTGTGGGGCAGTTCTTCTCTGTCACATGGGGTCACTATGAGCAGGAATTGACTTGGCAGCACCTAACCTTGTATGTATATGTATGTATGTATGTGTATATATAGTTGTAACCTTGTTACAGCTATATACACACACACATATATATACACACACTAATTGCCATCGAGTCGAATCCGACTCCTAGTGACCCTATAGGACAGAGTAGAACTGCCCTATAGGGTTTCCAAGGCTGTTATCTTTATGGAAGCAGACTGCCACATCTTTCGTCCTCAGAGCTGCTGGTGAGTTTTAACCACCTTTCAGTTAGCAGCTGAGCGCTTAACCACTGCACTACCATGGCTCATATATATGTCTGTGTGTGTGTGTATACACACAATTTATATCTCAAAGCCACTGCCATCGAGTCTTTTCCAACTCATGGCAGTACTGCTGAGTGTGTTTGAACCAACAGTCTTCAGGTTCTAGTTGAGCACAAACATTTTGTGCCATCCAGGTATATTATATACGTATATGAACCCAGCTCTAATATTGTCTGTTCACAGAATTTTAACAATACGATATTTTCATAAATGTGAGTCAGATACTGAATATTTGAAACATATTTCACTTACGTACAATTATCAGAAAGCCCCATATTTTCGAGACATATTGTGAAAATAATGGTAGCATCTCTGCCAGATAATTTAATCTATGAAACATGAGACAATTCAGGGCAAAAAAAATACGTGTTTACTGTGTATGATAATGGTGAAATGGTAACAAATTTATATCCAACAGCATACTGCCTATTTTTAACAGAAAGCATATGATAGAGAATCTCTGTGAGAGAAATGAAGACAATCAGTGTGGACAGACCTTCAGCCAGATTCTAAGTCATTCTGTGCTCAAAAGAACTCCTATGGAAGGACATCCTTCTGAATTCCTTGAGTGTGGAAAATCCTTGATGGATCATTCATCACTTAAGCATCATATCAGATCTCACTCTGGATGCGTTGCCTCTCAGTGTAAGGAGTGTGGACAAGCCTGCAGTTGTCTCTCCTACCTCAGCACTCCTGTGAGAACTCTTACTGGAGAGAAACCCTATGAAAGTAAGGAATATGGGAAAGCCTTTCGTCATTTCTCAGTTCTGAAGACACATATGAGAAATCACAGTGGAGTGAGGCCTTATGAATGTAAGGAATGTGGCAAAACCTTTCGTCAGTCTTCAGTCCTCATGACACATATGAGAACTCACAGTGGAGAGAGGCCTTATAAATGTAAGGAATGTGGCAAAGCCTTTAGTTACTCCTCAAATTTCACTGTACATATAAGAACTCACAGTGGAGAGAGGCCTTATGAGTGTAAGGAATGTGGGAAAGCCTTTAGATGCTCCTCAGACGTCACTAGACATATGAGTATCCACAGTGGAGAGAGGCCTTATGAATGTAAGGAATGTGGCAAAGCCTTTCGTCTGTCCTCACACCTCAGTACACATATGAGAATTCACGGTGGAGAGAGGCCTTATGAATGTAAGGAATGTGGGAAAACCTTTCGTTGGCCACCAGACCTCACTGCACATACAAGAACTCACAGTGGAGAGAGGCCTTATAAATGTAAGGAATGTGGGAAAGCCTTTCGTCGTTCGTCACACCTCACTACACATACGAGAATTCACAGTGGAGAGAGACCTTATGAATGTAAGGAATGTGGTAAAGCCTTTAGATGCTCCTCAAACTTCACTACACATATGACTACTCACAGTGGAGAGAGGCCTTATGAATGTAAGGAATGTGGGAAAGCCTTTAGTTGTCCATCACACCTCACTACACATATAAGAACTCACAGTGGAGAGAAGCCTTATGAATGTAAGGAATGTGGCAAAGCCTTTAGTTACTCCTCAAACTTCACTGCACATATAAGAACTCACAGTGGAGAGAGACCGTATGAATGTAAGGAATGTGGCAAAGCCTTTAGACGCTCCTCATACCTCACTAGACATATGAGTACTCACAGTGGAGAGAGGCCTTATGACTGTAAGGAATGTGGCAAAGCCTTTCGTCGCTCCTCACACCTCAGTAAACATATGAGAATTCACAGTGGAGAGGGGCCTTATGAATGTAAGGAGTGTGGGAAAACCTTTTGTTGGCCATCAGACCTCACTGCACATATGAGAACTCACAGTGGAGAGAGACCTTTTGAATGTAAGGAATGTGGCAAAGCCTTTCGTCGTTCCTCACACCTCACTAACCATATGAGAATTCACAGTGGAGAGAGGCTTATGAATGTAAGAAATGTGGGAAAGCCTTTAGCTGGCCATCACACCTCACTACACATATAAGAACTCACAGTGGAGAGAGGCCTTGTGAATGTAAAAAATGTGTCAAAGCCTTTAGTTGTCCATCACACCTGACTGCACATATAAAAACTCACAGTGGAGAGAGGCCTTATGAATGTAAGGAATGTGGCAAAACCTTTAGATGGTCCTCAAACTTCACTAGATGTATATGAGTACGGACAGTGGAGAGAGGCCTTTTGAATGTGAGGAATGTGGCAAAGCCTTTCATCATTCCTCACACCTCACTAAACATATGAGAAATCACAGTGGAGAGGCCTTATGAATGTAAGATGTGGCAAAGCCTTTTGTCATTCCTCAGACCTCACTAAACATGAGAATTCACAATGGAGAGAGGCCTTATGAATGTGAGGAATGTGGAAAAGCCTTTTGTCGCTCCTCACACCTCAGTAAACGTGAGAATTCACAGTGGAGAGAGGCCTTATGAATGTAAGGAATGTGGAAAAGCCTTTCGTCATTTCTCACACGTCACTAAACATATAAGAATTCACAATGGAGAGAGGCCTTAAGAATTGTTTCATTCATAGTGCTGTAATTTCAAACAGCCAATTTCTGAAAGTCTCTAATTAGAGAACAGTTTCTCAGTGACGAAGAAAGCAACAAAAACTCAAAGAAAGGGTCATTAGAGCTACTTTGTGCCTTTGGGAAAAATAACATTTTCATGCTAACTGTTCAGGTGTCCTTATTAGTTTTCATTTCTCCAGTTACATGAACAGCTAGTCAGATGTTTACTTTCTCAGTCCACGCTAAATATTACCTTCTTACAGTTTTTGGGTATTAGAGATAAGGCTGCAGTGAAGAGCCTTGAGGGTTTGTAGTTTCATATTTTTTAATGTTTTTGTTGATGTTAATTTGCATGCAATAAAGTGTACTGATCTTGTGTTTGGATTGAGTGTTTCTTTTGTTTTCATTTATAACATGTTTTTTCCAGTCATCCACAGTGTAAAGTTAAGTAATTTACCATTTGTAATTAATAAGTTTCTCATAGGGAGATACTTTGAGACAATACAAATATTCTGTTTTTCATCTTTTGTCCACTGATTTTACATCCATTGATAATTATTTCCTGCAGCAAGTATTACTGTGGTGTTTACCAAATGGTGAGTTTCTGTTCCAAGCATTCATTCTATATTTATTAATTGGAATTCTACTGTAAGGAATAACTTTTCTTTCTCTTCACTTTACTTAAGTTGTTTATGTCAGGATACACTAATGGATATTAGTATTTTTTATTTTATTGCTCAAATTGTCACAGATTTATTAAAAGCTGCCTTAAGTAGGTTCCTTTATTACATTTTTTTTTGTTTTGTTTTTTAATTATTTTCTGGCAGTGTCCCAGGCTCATATTGTACTTCTTCTGCATCAGCCCTGGAATCAGCTTCATAAAAATAAAATCATTGCAACTCGAATGTGTGTGTATCCATACCATGTAGGAGCAGCCCTTGGTGGCCCTGGGAGTGGTAGAGCCTTGAGGTAGGGCCCAGCATGGTTGTCACCAGCCAGAAACAGAGCAGATTGTAGTGAGGAGAAGAGACATTCCACTGTCTAAATTTCTAGGCCTTTTAACTCTGACCCTCTGGGACCAACTGCCCCCACCCCGCCAGAAAAAAAATTTTAAAATGGGATCCATTTCATCAGTGAACACTTCTAGGCTGTGCTCTGGTGAGCAAGCAGCCTATCCTCTGCATCCACACGTGTGCAGTCTTGTCATTTCCTCTGGAAATGGGAGGCTCTGGGGTTCCAGCACGTGTATGAACAGAGGAGGCCAAGGCAGAGTTTTGGGAATGGATGTACATGTGTGCAGTAGAGCTCAGGACGGCTGGTGGGCATTTTAATTCCAGCTCAAAATGTCATGAGTCCTTGGTAAATTATCCTGTGTAAATCTCTTGACACTTCACCTAATAGTACCTTGTTTTCATTAGGTGCCGTTGAGTACATTCTGACTCATAATGACCCTATGTACAACAGAACAAAATACTGCCCGGTCCTGCGCCATCTTCACTATCATTGCTATGTTTGAGCCCATTGTTGCAGCCACTTTGTCAATCAGTCTCATTGAGGGTCTTCCTCTTTTTCATTTATCCTCTATCAAGCATGATGTCCTTCCCCAGGGGCTGGTCTCCCCTGATAACATGTCCAATAGGTACAATGTTAGGTTTTACTTATCAAGTGGTGATAACCAAAACCTCTTAAAATTTATATTTTTTTCTCTTTACATGTAGATTGAGAAGTTTAGATTTTCAACATATGGTTCTAATGTTTGATTTTATTATCAGTGATACAGTCCCTAGCACTTTAAGGCCTTTCTATTTATGGACTGTCTTGGAAGAAGTACAGCCAGAATGCTGCTTAAAAGCAAGGATGGTAAGACTACATCTCACATACTTTGGACATGTTCCCAGGAGGGACCAGTCCATGGAGGACATCATGCTTGGTAAAGTAGAGGGTCAGCAAAAAAGAGGAGGTCCCTCAGTTAGATGGATTGACACAGTGGCTGCAACAATGGGCTTAAGCATAACAATGATTGTGAGGATGGCACAGGACCAGGCAATGTTCTGTTGTACACAGGGTTGCTATGAGTCAGATCCAGCTCGACACCTAACAATACAACAACGTTTATGGACAGGTATTTCATGGAGCCTAGTCTCTGTGAAAGGAGACCTGGTGGTGCACTGGTAAAGCACTCAGCTCTTAATTGGAAAGTCAGCAATTGGAACCCACCAGACCACTAAGCGGGAGAAAGATGTGACAGTCTGCTTCCATAAAGATTTACAGACTTGGAAGCTTTATGGGGCAGTTCAACTCTGTCCTGCAGGGTCACTGTGAGTCTGAATTGACTCGATAGCAATGGGTTTGGTTTTTGGTTTTTTGTTTCTAAGTAACTACCTGTTTGTAACTTTGTTGTGCTGTGGTGGCTTGCTTGTTGCTATGATGCTGGAAGCTAAGCCACCAGTATTTCAAATACCAGCAGGGTCACGCATTGGAGGTTTCAGTGCAGCTTCTAAACTAAGACTAGGAGGAAATGCCTGGTAATCTACTTTCTGAAAATTAGCCAGTGAAAACCCTGTGGATCAGAAGAGAATATCGTCTGATAGGACTCAAAAATGCCAAGGATCATGGAGGTAGCACAGGACCGGGAAACTTTTCATTCTCTTAGACATAGAGTCGCCATGAGTGGAAGCCACCTGGGCAGTTAACAACAAAGTCTCTGAGAGGCCCAGGCAGACAGAAGGGATTGAGAATTCTCATAGCTGCAGATCTGCAGTTCTGAGCGGCTCCAATAAGTGGTATTAATGATCCTCTTAACCATTCTTAAATCCTTCTGTTTCTACGAAAGTGTTTTATTCATGGGGGTATATGGAGAAAGAACAAAAGGGGGCTATTGAGATATTTTAAATTCCTGGTTTTGTATGCCTAAATGTAGTAATAACCCCAACGTACTTTAAAATGGTCTTTTTTCTGCTACCAGAGTGTGATTTTCAGTTCTACATTCAGAGTCCTGATTGTGCAAATCCCACCTGGCCCTGACAGGATCCCATTACCTGGCAGGTGGTTTAAAGTGCTGTTGGAGACAGTTCGCTTTTTAAATACTTGGATTTGATTGTTTATAGAGTCTGGACAGAAGGATCCCTGACCTATGGGGGCTTCTCAGGTCTTTGTTCATGGAGAGAGGAGGGGACAAGTACCCCACAGGAGAGTACCTAGTGGGTGAGAATTGAGTCTCAGACCCCTTTTCCTTCATGGCTGCTGTCTTAGTGATCTAGTGCTGCTATAACGGAAATACCACAAGTGAATGGCTTTAACAAACAAATTTATTGTCTCACAGTCTAGGAGACTAGAAGTCCAAATACAGGGTGCCAGCTCCAGGGGAAGGCTTTCTCTGTTGGCTCTGGGGGAAGGTCCTCATCATCAATCTTCCCTGGTCAGGGAGCTTCTCAGTGCAGGGACCCCGGGTCCAAAGGATGCACTGTTCTCCTGGCTCTTGTTTCTTGATGGTATGAGGTCCCCATGTCTCTCTGCTGGCTTCTGTCTTTTGTATCTCAAAACAGATTGATTTAAGACAAAACCTGATTGTTGTAGATTGAGTCCTTTATCATTAACATAACTGCCTCTAATCCAGCTTCATTAACATCATAGAGTGTCTTAGTCATCTAGTGCTGCTGTAACAGAAATACCACAAGTGGATGGTTTTAACAAAGATAAGTTTATTTTCTCACAGTCCACTAGGCAAATTCAAGGCATCAGCTCCAGGGGAACGCTGTCTCCATCAGCTCTGGAGGAAGGTCCTTATCATCAATCTTCCCTTGGTCTGGGAGATTCTCTGTGCAAGAACCTCAGGTTCAAAGGACGTGCTCTGCTCCCAACATTGCTTTCTTGGTGGTATGAGCTTCCCATGTGTCTCTGCTCACTTCTCTCTTTTATATCTCAAAAGAGATTGGCTTAAGACACTATCCAACCTTGTAAACCTCATCAGTATAACTGCCACTAATCCATCTTATTAGATCATAGTGATTTAGTTTACAGCACATAAGGAAATCACATCAGATTACAGAGTGGTACACAGTCATACAATACTGGAAATCATGACCCAGCCAAGTTGACAGATATTTTGGGGGGAGACAATTCAATCCATGACATAGAGGTAGAATTTACAACACATAGGAAAATCACTTCAGAGGACAAAATAGTGGACAATCACACAATACTGGGAATCATGGCCTAGCCAAGTTGACACGTATTTTGGGGGGACACAATTCAATCATAGCAGCTGCTCAGTCCCCTTTTTGCTTGGGGACCCCTGCTATTTCCCCTGAAGGAGACTTTATGAGTCAAGTTCCTGCCAACCCCTTAGGTATGCAACTGTCGTGGATTTAATGATACCTAAAATGTGGAAGCAGTTTTGAAACTCTGAATGGATAGAGGAGTGGCAGCGGCAGAGAACTGGCAACAGAGAACTTGGAATGGCAGAGAAGTGGCAGCAGAAGAGAACCAGCAGCAGCAGAACCAGGAGACCAGTGCAAGACAGCGCTGGAGCCTACCCACGGAGCAAGAGAGCAGAGCACCTGTGCACAGGAGGCTTCCTGGCAGAGTGGGGTGCCTCTGGCCACTT